CAGGAATTCTCATGGGCACAGAAGTGGCTGTTGTATCTGTGCAGCCAACATAAGTATTTTATTTTGCCAGCACACTATCGTTCTAAAAGACACACTGAACTTTGCAAGGCAGGAATATTAGTGATTTGAGTGCACATTATAGTAACCTCTCAAGAACAGTTTTTGATCCAGTGACTAAAAAATAGAAGTACAGTATATCCATTACACCCTCCTAGTGGCCTATAGACAGAGCTACAATGTTAGTTTCCTTAAAGCAAGGCACTTAGCTGACCCTGGGCCTCCCTCTTGTGGTCAAAAATAAATTACTTTTCTTTAACCTTAAGCTGTGGAGATATAGTCACCAAACTCTTTATAGACAGAGGCTTGCTCCTAACACCATTACATCAGTGGGAGTTTGGGAATACTTTTTTTTTCGTTGTAGCAAAATTGGAAACCTAAAAGCGGGACCAAGGGAGTGGGGGTGGGGAGGATCTAGTTTAGGTTTTCACTTTGAGATTGATGCAATGCTTTCTAAGAGCATAGAACCTTAAATTGAGACTATCCTGGCTTGGTAGTCAAAGACTGAAGATTTCTTGCTTAACAAACACTTCTTGGCCAACATACAAGGAATTGATCTGAGATCCTTTAGAGCTAAATGCATGAACTGCTACTATTTCAGCTACAAAACCAGAGCTGTTTTGCTGTGCTCTTGTAATAACTCCTTCTCTGAGGATCAGGACACAGGAGAACTGCTATGTACTCTTACCAGTGGTGTATATAGAGCTCCTTGGAACAAGCTTTGACTATGGAATAAAGCCTAAGACAGAGCAGAACAAAAATGGGTTTATTCACCCTGCTGGAATACACTCTGCTTGTCACTCATCAAGAAGAGAGACCCTAAACTGGACTTGATGAACCACCAGAATGAATTCCAATTACAGCCCACTACTTTCTTGGAATGAGCAAAACAACTAAACTAGCTTCCACCCTTTAGTCATCTAACTCATTGTAATTTCTGTTCTGCTCAGGAATGTTATTGCTCTCAACTTTCTTGTCTTTCCTGTGTCTGTTGTGGGAGGAGTTGGACAGACAGAATGATGAGTAAAGCAACATATTCCAAGAGATGCATATCAGTTATTACTAATGAACGTTGGAAGGGGTACACAGATCTTTACAACAGAAAAACTGTACGTAGTAAGTTCTCTCAAGAAAATAACAGTGTAAAGGCACAACCTACTACAGCATAGAACAGACACGTTACTTAGCATCTTCACTGTGTGATGAAGTAATCCATATAGCACTTGCTCTAAAATTTAAATTCATTTCTTCACCTCCTGGCCTACAGGAAAAATATAGAAAATAAAACAACATAAAGGAAAAAGCCATTTTGGTGGTAATCACTCCAGGGATATGAAGCTGCACCTAGATTTGTTTTCCAGCTCACAGACTTCTATGAACTGGGACTGTCACAAAAGCAACCCAGTCAGACTGAGTGAGGCAGTGCTTCTATCCTCTCTCCTGATAGTTCTCCTCCTTGGAGTTTCATGTGGCAAGGAACCGAAGGAATCCAGGGTTTTGGCAGGAGCATAAAGAACTCGCTTCTTTGTGTACAGATAAAGAGGAATAAAGGTGAAATCTGAGAAGACATGAGGCAAAGAAGAGGAAAAAGGGAAATGAGGATGATTAAAAAGATCCAGAGACAGCAGGAACATCTGTATGCAGAAAAGCCAATAAAGTCTTAACTCCACAACTACTAAAAATGTGTTTTTAAATCGGGAGCTATGCACCTTGAGGAAAAGCTGGATTTAATTATCAAGTTATGGGAACCAATAGGAGAGAGAGAGTAGAGTCACATGACCTATAGAAGCAAACCAAAAACAATTCTAATATTATAAAAGCCTAAGTCTGTCTGTAATGCTTTATTCACACTCTGATTGGCTGTCTTGGCAGTCAGAGTGCCCTACATAGACAGGGACAGACAGCAGAGTGCTGCCATGACAGTGGGGACTGAGGGGTTGGAGGGGAGGGGGGCAACAGGGACCAGACTGCCAGGGTCTGGTTCTTGGAGCCAGGGGCTGGCACCCCCATCCCCCTCAACAACAGCTGGCAGGGAGGGAAGCAGGAAGGGGAGGGGGGGTTACTGGTTGCTGCTCCCCGCTGCGCCTGCGGCATGGGCTCTGGCCCTGGCCCCGAGTGGTGGGGGGGAGGTGGGGAGCAGCCCAGGCCCCAGCCCTAGCCTGAGACAGGGAGCAGCCCAGACCCCAGCCCGAGGAGAGGGGGAAGGGACACAGGTCTCTATCCCCGCCCCCAAATATTCACTCAAATGGCAGGATTGTTGGTAAAAACTAAAATTTGCCTTTTCTAATATCACATGGCCTAAAACAAGGAGTCAAAAAGATTTCACTTGGTGTGAGGTTTTGGGTTTTTTTAATAAATGGTCTTGGACTACTGCCAGCTCTTTGACTAAAGACACCCATGCTCGTTGTTTGAATAAGAACCAACCAACTATTAGCTTCAATTTATTAAGACAAAACAAAGCATAGCACTAGTATTTTGTTTTGGGAGACATTACTACGTTATTTTTTCTTAGCTGTGTCCTTGAATTGCTCCCAAACACCACAATTCCCCATAACCCCTACAGCCCATTCCCCAAGGAAGGTAACAGTGAAACTGTTGCCATGAATACAGTGAGGGATCCACCAGCTGGTTTCAGAGTTGTATATAGGCTTGCTGTGACAATCAGCCTGCACTCAGTGCTGATATACTTGTCTCCCCTCCCTGTCATTTCTTTCACTATTTAAAAGGCTTCTTCAAAGCAACTAAAATGCCTTTCTGTTAGAATTAAACATGCACAAGTAAAATCTAGGCCACAGACATGAACATCTGTCTAAGAAATTACAAACGAACAGCAGTGTTTACCTTTCAGCCAAACTTGGAAGCCTTTCCTTGTGCTTCCCTATCTAACCAATTAATCAATAGTAACATGATCTGAGTTTCATTTTTACAGAATCAATTATTAATAGCAGCCTCTGTACTGAGGAAATCTCAATGGGGTTTTAAAGACAGGCCTTGCAGCATCCATCACAGAATGGCACGAATTAGGCCCTTTCTGAAGGCTATTTATTGCCTAACAGGCTATTGCTCTTATGCATGCAATATTTGGAGCCACATTAAGTAACTTACTGTGTCATTTCTGCTACTAGAAAACAAAATACAATTTTTTTCTAGGTTCAGGACTCCCAATACACAGGCAGGGTAAAGGGAGGAGCCCATAGGAACAGAATCTCTCTCTTTCAGACACTGCAGTTTTAAAGGACCCGTGTACTTCACATCTATGAACCAGAAAAGCTGCCTCATTTTAAATTTCTCATAGCTACATTATCACATGAATAAAAGCTGCACTCTCAGGGCATTTTAAAATATCTATGTATACACCCAGGGCAGCCGAATCCTCTCCCAAACTTCAACCTTGACTCACAATGTGACTGTGGTCAAGTCACATACAATATGCCTACACTGCCTCCCAAATGAGACTGGGCACACCACAAAGAAACAAGGCCTGCCCACTCATGCTCATTCCATGAACACCCAAGCCTACAAATTTGCAAAGCAGACAGCTTGGCACAGACTTGGTGCATACTTTGGCACAATGCTCAGGCTCTTTGAGGCTTCATCAAGCTGTCCGATCCATAAATTTGCTGGCCCAGTTGTGCCCAGAGCAGGTGTGAGTGGGTGAGCTTATTTTTCTGCAGTGTACTGATCTCCCATAGAAGGCAATATAGACATTCCCTTAACAGCTTGAGTTTAAAACCATGACTCCATTTGTAGAATCACATTTTTTCCTGTAACAAAATGGGTCCTAATTTAGTGTCAATAGTGAATTATCAGAAAAAAGCATGAATGAACTGAAGGAACAAAATTCTGGGACCAAAAATCACTTCAGGTACAAAACTGTGCTTACAAAAGAGGCCTAGTTTGGAAATTAGGCCTATTGCCTCTGTGAGCTTTGGTTTATCCATTCATAAAATGAGGCTACAGTATCTCAGAAGGATGCTTACATGGAACAATTAGTTTATATTTGTAAAGCATTTTGTGTATGATGAAAGGCACTATACAAATGCAAAACATATTTAGTGTGTATATATATGATATGCCCCAGTGCAGTGAACCATCTGTCACTCACCCATCCAGTAATGCATCAAATTCAATAACCACAAAGAAGTTAGTTTCCTGCCCACTTAAAAGAAAGCATGGTAGAAGGGAGCATCTATTCGTCATCCCCATGAAACAGATTTTTTGAGAGATGAACAGCTATGCAGAACATCATAAGGTCAAAACGTTCAATCCTTGGATAGATAACTCTCTCCACATACACACACATTCATCTCCTTCACCAAATGGTGCACTTGTCTTTGCCAATCCAGTTGGCACAGTTGCCAATGTCATTGTCAAAAGAGGAACATGTACAGTTCCCAGGAGATGTATATGTAAAACAACAGGAGTCTGAGAGAAAAGCAGAATATAGGCAATGCAACAGCTATTTTAAGCTACCTTTCTCCCCACGCTGATCAACTGCAGGAGCAGGGATAATTTAGAATTAGGCTCTTTTTAAAAAAACATTTTTTTTTTATGATCAAAGATATTTCTTTCCATTACCTTCCTCATTTTCTTTGGAGGACTTCAGCTCCAATTAGATTTTGTTAATTTGGTACTCTGGTTACTGATGCATATGAACAACTGTGTGATAGTTTGATGGGGTTAATAATTAATGAGCGCCCTACAATTTTCTGTCTTCTTTCCCTCTGAAAGAGTTGTACTAAGAATATATTGGACCTTATGGAAAACACTGCTCTTCCACTGATGAAAATCCAGAGTCATTCCACTGTCCTTAGGACAGTGGACATTTTGTTACTGGCATTTAAGCTTTGAGTAGTGATGGTCTTGGTTTCATTCTTTTGGGTGGTTCTTTCATTTAATCAGAATATTTACAGAAATGTTTACAGTTTAGTGTAGGTGAATGATTTTCTCTCGCTCAGATTTAGTGTAATACTGCCAATTAGACACATGGTACTGAGCGTTACAAATGAGTAAGAGATTCCATTAATTCCTTCTCCCAGTGTAAATTGCACTCCGGTAGTATCTTGTACTTTGCCTTGTACCATGCTACATGCATTGCAGTTCAACAAGAAAACAATCTGATAAGAAATTTAGAAACTAAGATTAGGATTAGTAAAAATCTCACAAATACTGACCCAGCATGTGTTTATAACAGTTGTTTTGGACAATAACACCTTGCCATTCAATCATCAAGGACAACTAACAAGGAGTCCCTATAGCACCAATCAGTGCTACTGACACAGCAGAAGAATCTGATATAAAGCTGCTTCACCCTAGTTTCCAATACCACTGAAATTCATACAACTTCCTACCCTATATAATTATGCTGGTTCCTAAAGAATCAGCCTTAACTAGTAATGGCAGGAGGGCATTTACTCTTGGAACAATAGAGGAGACCAGAACAATGTTTGTAAACCTGATATACTCACTGAGCTGTGGTCTGTTCTTTAGTAGCCCCTCAATAGTGAAGTCCCCACATGGCAAGTAGATTGGGGCTTAGGCAGTGTATGCCCCTGATTTTGCCGCCTCCTTTCTCCAAGACAGGCTGCAAAGCCTGTCTTTACTCACAGACACCATTTTTTAAAAAGAAATACAAAGATACATCAATGATACAATTGCTTCTCTACCACTGTTGCTTCTGCTCAGTAGTAGCACAGCGTGTTCCTAGCAAAGTGACCTGAAACACTTTCTCCAGCAAGGTCAGTCAGAACACTTATAGGCCTAGTTATGCTTAGTCTTATCTTACCAACTCACTGTTATCTGGCACGGATAGGAGAGATCAGGTTCATTATGTGGGCTGTAACATGTGAAAACATGTTGTCCCTTCTATACAACAAAAAAGTGGTTATAAGAACAAAAAAGTGGTTATGACATAAATGCCATCCATTCTACTTAGTAAGGATCTTGTAGTGTACACAGGATGTATAAAGGGAAAAGATGCATCTACTTTCTCTTTGACAGAAAGACTATATAGAGCTTGATTCTCTTCTGCTTTGTACCTTGTCTAGCTATGTTCCAGACAGCATACAATTATACCACTCTCATCTGGCATTTTCCACAGGTGGACACATCTCTATAAGGTTCAAGGCAGAGAAAAATTAAGCCCTCCAAATGTTAAACAGAGATGGGATAAGACTGCCAGGTTCAGGACTGCCACAATATTTGAGAACACATGGATCTTGGGCTCTAATTTTGGCCCGCCTTAACTGTGAAAGGCAGAAAAACCATGATGTCAAAAAAGAGGAATCACTGCCAGTTGTTTTTAGAGCTTCATATACTTCAGATTTGTGTTTCCTCATTACAGAATGTATCCCCCAATTTCCCAGCTCTCTCCAATTACCCTGCAGTTGTATCCAAAGGGCCAGATTTGTCAGAGTAATAAAGAAAGCCAGGTGAAGCAAACAGAAATTCTCTCCCACCTTACTTCATTAACAGTACACATGTAGACTAAAAATGTTTAAAGGGTACGTCTACACATGCAGTTAATGCAACTGAATTTACTCTGGTGCAGTGTGCACCAGGGTAAACTAATCCAGGCACAGCATCTGAACGTGTGCCTGGTGACAGGAGAAAATTGAGCTCGGAGGGAACAGTGTAGGCCAGGGACGCTCCTGGCCTGCCCTGGCTTAGCTGACCGGGTACAATTTGCACCTGGATCACTGTCTACATGTTCACTTAATTGTAGTTATTTACTCTGGCACAGGATAGTACTTGTGTCTGATGGGACTATCCTACACCAGTTAAATTGGTCTACTGCACCCTAACTGCAGTGCATATGTAGACAGTGACATTTACTGCAGAGCAAATTAGTCTACTCTGCAGTAAAGTGTGCATGTAGGTACCCTAAGAGATCTTAAATGCAACTGAAAGAATGTTTATAAGCACATTCATGGCCCAGTGGAGTTGCCTGAGTGCAAGTCAGAGTAATATTGTGCAAGGAGTTTATGTTTAAAAGATAGAAAACATATGGATTCACTTAGCACTGCCACATGTTTTCTGCTCCCAAAAGTATGGGACCAGGATTTCAGCATCCAAGATTTCAAAGTTCTAGTAACAACCAAGAAAGCAAAGAACACACAAAATCTTTACCACAGGGTTTCCTGGAAGCAGGAGGGCATGCTGGACTGGCAACATCTCAAGTAAAAAGAGCTCACCAGTCAGGATAGGTAAGCACAAAGCAAGGAAGAGTCATCTCTCTGAAGAGAGATGCTAGGATCATTTTCTCCTCACTGCTTTGCCAACACATAATGACTTTCAATCCTTGAACCGAAAACTGCACAAGAGCTTTTTTCTGCTGCAGCTTCACCACACTTGTGTACGCACATGCAGATGGAGAAATAATGTTTGCAGAAATGTTTGGCAGCTAGCAGCAGCTCAGGCTTGCTTGAGAGTTGCTTTCTGGAGCATCCAGTGAGTTTCCTTCCAGTTCTGGAATGAGGAAACCAAAGAATTATTCATGCTTCATATCACCTCGGAATCAGAGAGCTGGAAGGGATGTCATGGGTCAGCTAGTCCAACATCCCCCTACCCCACCTCCCCAGCAAAAGCAGGATGTGCTACTTTGAAATCATTTTTGGGAACTTCTTATCTAGCTTATTTTTAAAGGACCTTTATACCAAGGACCTTCCAGTAACAAAGATGTCAAAGGCCATATTTCAGCCCTTAGTAATACATGTGAAATCACATATAAGAATTTAGGTAGATAAATGCTGATGTGAGTAGGTTTGGATTAGCATATGTGAGATAGAATTTGGCCATCCAGAAACCTCCCTACTCCCCTGAGTAAGCAACAAAAGCAAATAGAGAGAGCAAAACTAAACATACTGATCAGGTTCCCAGCCCCAATCTGGGCCATGCGACCATTACTCTTCTCCAGCTCCTTCAGCATGGATCGTTCAAAAGCCAAGGCAGCAACCCGGGAAAAAAACTCCTTTACATTTTCTCCTGGGAAACATGAGAGAAACACTTCATTTACAAGCACAGTCATACAGATCCAATTCATAAGAACAAGAACACAAACTACTGTATAAAACCAGGGAGAAAAGTAATATGCTGCTACTTGCAAACATAAAAAAAACCAAACCAACTTTAAACTCTGTGCACCCTTATACTGAGTGCAGTGCATGCCCAAAAGAGGCATCGCATTAGTTGGACCTGGCACACCTGACATCTGTATAGATTGGGTGTTTTAGTGGTGCTTTTTTGGTATTTTTATCTAATAGCTGATTGAATCAGCTATTAGATAAAAGTGCCAAAAATCCCCGCTGAAACACCCAATCTATGCAGATGTCGCAGAGCTGGGTTGAAGTAAGATGCTGCTTCTTCCGGTAAAGCGAAGGTTTGTTTGTTTTTTTGTTTTGTTTTTTAACGTCTGCAACCAACCAGCATATCTCCCCAGAAATATTTCCCTCCAAAGCAATTGGGCAGTCCCATCCCTATAATCCCAGTTAGGATTTCTCATTCCCATCTTGTGCGTGTGCATACACACACACACACACAGACACAAACACACAGGTTTCAATTAAACATTCAGAGGGAAGTTAAGGTGTGGCATAACTTTTTATTTTCCCAATTTCTGCAGCAGCAATTGTTAATTATGTGCAATTTCTGCACACAATTAACAAATGCACAGCCCCAAACAACTATATAGCTATGTGAACACCTGACCAAATGCATTGCTGCAAATGCACTCAGCAGAAGAACCTGACATACTCTTTATTTAACACATGGCTGTGGCTGCACTGTACTAGTCTTCCATGAAGCAACTAACCTGTTTTTGCTGACACCGACCAGTATTCAGCCTGCATCTCACTGGCAAAACGGATGGCATCTCGTTCTGTCCGCTCACATGCAGCACCTGACTAAGACAGCAAAGAATAACGGTCTGTAACAGAAAGCAGGCAGAGTCCCTCTACAGCAGTGGTTGTCAACTGGGGGGTTTGAGTACCCCTAGGGGTACTTAAAAAGGTCCTAGGGGGTATACAGACTTAATGTGTCCAATAAATGCTGCATGCATGCACGCAGGTGCAACGCAGCATGCAGGTAGCCAGGAGAGCGGCCAAGTCCGGCTGGTAAGTGTGTTTGTGAGGGAAGGGGCCGGGGGGTGAAGATTGAGGCTCCAGCGGTGGGGGAGGGAGTGGGGCTGGGGCTGCCCAGCGAGGGCAGAATGCTAGACTGAGCTGCATGGGGGGCGGCTCCCACCTCTACACCCCAGGAGGGAATGGGGGGCACGTGCCCCCCGATCTGTGTGCAGGGCAAGGTGAGATGCCGCAGCCAACTGGGGCCGGGGCTGTACCAGGCTCTTCCTGGCAGGGGGTTGGGCCAGGCTGTGCTGGGAGGGGTTGCAGCCACCCCAGAATTCACTGTAGCCCCTCCAATCCCCACCTCCCAGAACCACACCCATCTGCCCTGAGTGCAGCCTGGCCCATCCCCCACCAGGAAGAGCCCGGTCCTGGCTAGAGCCAGCAGCATCATCCCACCCTGCCCCGCATGCAGATCTGGGGGCACATGGCCCCCCGGGGTCCACATAGCTGTGGGAGCCACCCCCACCCCCCAGCACCTACCCGGACAAGCCACTCATGGCCTTGATTGAAGCCCCCACAGTGAGGGACAGAGTGGAGCTGGGGTAGGCACTGCACAGCAGGGACAGAGTGCGGGACAGAGCTGCGAGTCGCTCGTTTGGGAGATGCAGGTGATGGGGGGAAGAGGCTGATCCCGCAGCTGTGCACACCCTGGGAGGGCATGTGCCCCTGGATCTGTAAATGGGGCAGGGCAGGTTGTCGTTGCAGGCTGGGGCTGCTCTGGGCTCTTCCTGGTTGGGGACTGGGCTGGGTTGTGCTCAGGGCAGGCAGTGGTAGCACTGGGAGGGGCCTATGGGGCTGTAGCCACCCCAGAATTTGCCATTGGGCCCCCAACCCTCCCTCCCTGCACTGCCACCCACACTGAGCTCAGCCCAGCTCAGCCCCTACCAGAAAGAACCTGGTGTCGGCCCCAGCCTGCAGTGGCAGCCTGCCCAGCCCTGCTCTGCATGTAGATCCAGGGGCACACACACCGTGTAGCTGTGGGAGCTGCCCCCTGCGTGGCTCAGTCCCGTGCCCCACCCCGGCTGTGTAGCTGCAGCCCCTACCCCAGCTCCAGCCTGCCCTGCGTGCAGATTGGGGGGCACATGCCCCCATGCCCTCCCAGGGTGTATGCACCAGCGGGACATGCCTCCCCCTCCCTGCACCCCCCAGACAAGCCATGGCTCCATCCCATGCCCTGCCCCACCCTGGCCGTGCAGTTCCAGCACCAGCCCTGCTCCCTCCCTCACCAGGGAGGTCTCCATCTGCACCCCACCCTTAAAAACAAGAAAAAAAATATAAAGGAGGTACAAAAGCTGCAACTTTGAGAGAGAAGGGGTACACTTGTTAAAAAACATTGAACACCCCTGTTCTAGAGTATGTCTGGATCATAGTAAGACAGTAATAGCACTAGCTCTATGGTTTCATGTCTGTCTTTCCTTTTTTAGCTTTGCCTTACAACTTATAAAATATGATACCCCATTTAAAAACCAAACTGCTGCAAGAGAGTATCTGGACAGATATTTGATAAGGAAAATCACTGGTATTCATCTTAAAATATTTTTCCCCTATAATCTACAGCATACAAACCTTAGCTACTGGAAGTGAACAAATTATGTAACTGTACAGCAGTCTAATCTACTAACAAAATGAAGCTTTTGCTTGTTTTTTTCTAAGATTTGTTTCACAATGTAATTCTCAGCAGAAAAATTGCAGAAGCCACCAACAACTGTATGTTCTTCCTTCCCCATCTAAAGTCTCTGGCCCCGATTTCACTCTCCTTTTTCTTTTGCCTTTATATTTCACAGAAACATAGAAAATTAGGGTTAGAAGGGACCTCAGGAGGTGATCCAACTGAACCCCCTGCTCAAAGCAGGGCAATCCCAAATAGATCATCCTAGCCAAGGTTTTGTCTAGGCAGGTCTTAAAAAAACCCTCCAAAGATGGAGATTTCCCCACCTCTCTGGGTAGCCTATACCAGTGCTTCTGTACCCTCCTTGTGAGAAAGATTTTCCTAATATCCAACCTAAACTTCCCTTGCTGCAACTTGAGACCATTGCTCCTTGTTCTATCATCTGCCACAACTGCAAACATTCTAGTTCCATCCTCTTTGGAACCACCCTTAAGACTGAGAAGGGACTTCACTTTCTGCTCTTCTCCAGACTAAATAAGCCCAGTTCCCTCAGCCTTTCCTCATAAGTCATGTCCCCTAGCCCCCACCCCTTTTTAGTTGCCCTCCGCTGGACTCTCTCCAGTTTGTTCACATCCTTTCTGTAGTAGATGGCCCAAAACTGGACACAGTACTTCAGATGTGGCCTTACCCCCCAGATGGAGAGGAAGAATCACTTCCCTCAATCTGTTGGCAATGCTCCTACTAACGCAGCCAGGGCTGGCCCACGATTTTTTGGGGCCTCCTGCAAAATAGTTTTGGGCATGGGTGACTAGTGCCTCCTGAGTCAGGAGGGGCACTTGCCCCTCCACGGCTGATCCTGCAGACCGGGGGAGAGGGGGTGCCCCCCGTGACTGATCTTGCCGACCACTGTATTGTCCACTGAAACCCTCAGGTCCTTTTCTGCAGAGCTGCTGCTTAGTCAATTGGTCCCAAGTCTGTCCTGGTGCATGGGACTGTTCCATTCTAAGTGCAGGACTTTACACTTGTCCTTGTTGAACCTCATGAGATTTCTTTTGGTCCAGTTCTCCAATTTGTCTAGGTCACTCTGAATTCTAGCCCAACACTCCAGCGTATCTATTACTCCCTCCAGCTTGGTGTCATCTGTGAACTCAGTGAGGGTACAATCCATCCTATCTTCCAGATCATTAATAAAGATATTGAACAAAACTGGCCCCAGGACCAACACCTGGGCCGCTTCTCTTGATACCGACTGCCAACTAGACATCAAGCTATTGATCACTACTCTCTGAGCTTGTCGATCCAACTAGTTTTCTATCCACTTTACAGTCCATTAATCCAACCTGTACTTTCTTAGCTTGCATGAACATTGGGGGAGACCATATCAAAAGCCTTGCTAAAGTCAAGGTATTTCATGCCCATTGCTCTTCCCACATCCACAGAGCCAGTCATCTCATCATAGAAGGCAATCAGCTTGGTCAGGCATGACAGAGGCCCCCGCCCACCTTTGAACTCACATGTTTCAGAAACCAAGCTGCTGAGTCAGAGAAGATGACTAGCTATTTACTATCGTTTAACTTTATCTTCCTTTTCCCTCTTCTACTTTTTATCTTCCTCTCTTGCTAATCTCTTTTACACTCCTCAACACGGCTTCTCTCTCTATTCCTGCCTTTTCCCCTTTCTCTTTTTATTTATTTAGTTTTTCATGTTGCACTTTTATTTTCATTTCCAAATCCTTTCCCTCTTTGTTTACTGCCAGCTGCAGATGCAAACTAACTACTATTGTGCAATCCTGCAACTCACTTAAGTTTAAGCACACAAACAGTATTCCCTCAGTTGGAATACACAGATGTTTAAAAAGTTAATTTTTTGTATAAATGTCTGCAGGATCAGGTCCCTAACCAGCTTCTCATAGCAGCTGACTGTGTGTCAAGAGCTCTTCACTGCTTTAGCTGCTGCTGGGGTATGAATGATGGACAAATGATCAGCTAGCATGGCAGGACTATTTATATGTGGTGAATGCAACCACCAGTGTATGATACTGTTGACCCTTTTCTGATTTTAATCCAATGTTCTCCCTCCAGACAAAGATCCTCTGACACCCATTATAATCTTAATAAGTTTATCTTAGGTCCCTCAAGCAGAGGCATGGTTTACAAAATGCATGATGGCCAAATGTCCCACAAAATGGTTTATCATTATGGCAACATTTATATTTTATACCTCTCTAGTTCACGTCTTCTGATCATGCCCATGTTAGAATGATCTCTTCCTAGCATGCACATATCTTAGGCAGTTTGAGAGGGAATTTCCCACTATAAAAAAAATGGCACATTTGGGAGTAAATTCTGAAGAGGCAGGTAGGTAGGGGAACAGGAAGGCAACACTGGGAATGGGAGATGAACATAGCTTCTGAGGATAAGCCACACCACCAGCCATACCCAAAACTCAAAACCTGGGAACAAAGGTAATACACAAAAAGCTATGGGAGAAAATAAGTGGCTGAGGAGAATGAGTCTCCTACAAAATGCTGAACCTTGACAACCCTTAGCATAATCTTGATATCTACCTAGTCAAAGTCTCATTATCTTCCATACATCATTTTTTCTTATTTCAGGCACTGTTGGAGCCCAAGTCTCTTATCTGTATCCCCAGATCTCTAAAACCTGCTTAATTTTTTCTTCACTCTACAATACCCCTGCTATACCTCAGAAGGCCTTAAGTGCTTCTCACTGTTATAAAAGTGACAGGCACAAAGCCTTCTGGGGTGCCTACTCCAAGCAGACAGGGACTGATGGATAATAAATAAGTGAAGGGACTTCAGGGATAAGACTTGCTACAGGTAGTGAGTAAAAGGAAATACAACTAAAGAGTGGGGAAAAGGTGTTTGCTTTTGTGTCTTTAGGATTATTGTGGCTGTTGGTTGCTAATAAGGGAGATAAACTTAGGTGTGGAAGGCTATTGCTCCCTTCTCTGTATAAGCCTTCAAGAAACAGGGGACAGGGATAATACTTGAGTCCTGTAAACTGTTGTCTATATTGCAACTTACAGAGACACTACCATGCGATTGCATCTCCTCATGTCTAAATTTTTCTTTGCTTGTGTAGTGCTTGGGTGCATTTGATAAAGGTAAGCTCCAACAAAAGAAAAGGGCTGCTTTGGTGATCTCTAGGAAGTGCTGTTTCCTTTACATTCTATACAGTTCACTCCTCTGTTTTTCATGTGACCTCTCTTCCCAATGGTTGTTGTACAATTTGCTTTTGAGGGGGGTTTCAAGCAGCTACCACATAATATCTGGATTTAACTTCTCAGGGAACAAACTTGGAGGGTAGGGGAGTTAAGAGAGGGACATTTTTGAACCATCTTTGTTCTACTTACCACTAAATCTTTCTTTGTTCCAACCAGAAAGATAAAGCTGGACCCTGGCTCATTCTCCCTCAATGCATCCTCTAACCACTGTCTGAAACACACAAAAAGAAGAGGAATAGATGAGATGAGCCAGTGGGAAGAGGGGAAATAGAAGTGAGAGTCACAGGGAGAGAAATAAATGGCAGTGGGGGAGAAGGAAAGGTGAAAAGAAACAAACAATAGGTCACAATGGAATGAGAGAAGAGGTGATGTGCCATAGGCAGACAAGGTTCTTCAGGTAAATGTGGTATCTTTTATTAGATCAAGTAAATATGCCTTTTCTGCTAAAGGAGGGACTGTTTTGAAACAGTTTGGAAGCATCCCTTTAGATGTTACATGCCTCCCATTCAGGGAAAGATAAACCTGCCCACATTAGAATTAGAGTTCAGTAGGGACTAGAGCAAGGATGGCAAATGGAATGCACCCATGCCACATCACTTGCACTAAAGGATAGGACCAAAGCAGTAGTGATAAGGAACAGATAAGGCATAAGATGCAAGGTCAGGAAAAGAGAATGAGGAGCAGAGGAGGAAGGACAAAGCAGAAAGAAAAAAGGGGGTAAAGGAAAGCAAGGAAAAATACCACCACATGAAAGTATCTACTCAGCCACACAAAGACAGAGCTCATTGTAAAGGTTGGACCTGTTTCTTAACTCAGATGAGTTTTATAGCTTTGTCACTCCATTGACTTCTATGAACTTACTCAAATTTACACCAGTATAAGGAAAATCAGGCCCCTACAAAACATTTTTCCAATCAAGCAGACACTATTTAATAACATTCTATCCATACAAATTGCACAGACATGTTAATCTATGCAGATGTGGATATGTCACTACAGGTATGACTGCAGTACAGTATAAATAAACCCAAGGCAGCTTGAAACTATCTCACTGGGAGAAGAGTCTCTGCATGGTAGCAGAAAACCCATGTCAGAAGCAGGATATATAAGCCCATGGTACACTCTGCCATGGCTAGACTTTAACCAGTACAGAAGCTAGCTCAGAGCCATTGTTGACATACACTTCTCTCATTTCTGCCCTTCCTTTTTAGGGCCTATGTTCTGTCTTCAGTATGTTCAGAAAATCTCCTTACAGAGATATCACTACAGGCAGCACTGAAGCACAAAATGGCATTTTGATTAGCAAAGAACCTATGAAATGAGTAATACTTGAGAGACACTAAAGAGTTTGAACAAGTGGCTACACCCACTCTTAATTTTCCTGGCTCATTAAGATATTGGTTCGTTGTCTTCCCAATTTTGTGCAGTCAATCCAAATTCCCAATTCAGTTTTAAACCAGACCTTCTGCTAAAACCTCAGACTGCCAAAATCCCAGGGACTTACTTGGTGTGATCCAAGGTCTGGATATCAGCCAGATCAAACACTGTTACAATAACTGCAACAAAAACAGAAGAGAAAAAAAATGAGCAAGACAGACAGGATCAGAAATCTTGCTGGTCCAACTGAGCTCCTGAAGCATAAAGAGAGTGAGTGAGTGAGTAAGAAAAAAAAAAAAAATTTGATCCTGACTGTGAAGTGCTTTCGAACTTACCCTCTGCTCCTCGGTAGTAAGCAGATGCAATGCACTTGAACTTTTCCTGACCTGCTGTGTCCCATCTGTGCAGGAGTAAGAGAGAAATTTCAGGTCAGTCAAGCCCAGCGCAACCTGAGCAAACACACTAATGAAGCAACAGACTGGTACAAGCTGGAGAAGAATGTGATACCAGAGACGTGTTACCATCTGGAATACGTTATCCATTAACTACTGACAGAGATCCTATAAAGAACCATTCTTTTAATGAAGACATTTTAATCATGTTTTTGCTAGTCTTGTAACCTTTACTCATTGGGGAACTTTTCCTGGACAGGTCAGCTCAGATATAAAATGCTCAAAGCAGAAATGCCTTTTTCATAATAATTTTCTGTGTAACATTTCTATTTATTCCTAGAGCTCTCATTCTTAAAATGTATGTTCCAAGTGCTGCCCACATAAGATCAGCCCACAGCAGGCTCATCTACATATGCAATTAATGTGACTGAACATACTTCAGCTCAATTTGAAGTGGAGTAAACAAATCCCTATGGCCATGTCCAGATGAGCACAGCTGTGTGATATGTGGCACTGCAGACACATCTGCAGTACCACATACCACAAATTCAGTTGTTCTCCGCACTGCAAAGGAGCAGCGCGGGGCATTTTTTTTGACCCCTGGATATCCAGGGGTCAAAAAAACTGCACAAAAAAAAGTGGAGTGGTGCACATGGGGGCAGTCCGCACCATTCAAAAATGGAACCAGGCTATGTAGAGCGACATTCTGGCTGCTGGCCAGCCTCTAAGCTGCAGCCACTGCTGCAGCCCCAGGAGGCCCCCAGGATGCCAGGTCAGGCTGCTGGGGCCAGCTCAGTGCTGTCCCCAGCCTTCCCTACCTCACTCAGGGTAACCTGCCATGTGCCAGAGGGCGTATGGCACAGGCATTCCATAGGGACAACTAGCAGCAGCACAAGGTGTCCTGCTACTAGTTTTCCCTGGAGAACCAAACGTCCACACTCATGTGGACACGGCCTACATCACCATCTACATGTGGTTTTAAGCAAAGTAATGTACTGTGGCATAGGATAGTAGTTGTGTCTGATGGGACTATCCTACAACCAGAGGTGGAGAGAGAAATATTTTTTTTTGGAGGGTGGGGCAAGCGTGTGCATGCATGCGTGCACATGCCCACCCTGGCAAGAAAGTCTGTGGGGGAAGGGGCAGGGATTGGGAGGGAGCAGAGCCCTGCCAGGATCAGGATTGGGGCCAGGATCCACTGCACCTGTGCAGTCACCCCTTTTCCCATGCCTGGGGTTGTTGCCAGGCACTGGCACCCCCTGTGCCAACGAATCTGCTGCCCCCAGGCCCGCAATGGCCCCAGCTGCCTCCTCGCACCAGCCCTGGCCCCATACTACCCGGGAGGACCCAGAGCCAGGGCCTGGAGCGGGGCCAGCCTCTGCTGTGCTGCCAGGCCGGAGGGGACAGAGCCCCCAGGATCCCAGTGCCTGCCCCGCCCCAAGTTGGAAGAGCCTGGCACAGCCTCAGCCCCAGCTCACAGTGGCAGCTTGCCTTGCCCTGCACAGATCTGGGGGGCACATGCCTCCCCTCTGCCCCGTGCCTCCCAGGGTGCACGTAGCAGCAGCAGCCACGACCCCGGACAAACTGCTCATGGCTCAGTCCCACACCCTGTCAGCTGTGCAGCACCTGCCCCTCTTAGCCCCAGCCCCACCCCACTCCTTCTGCAGCCACTGTAAGCCCTCTGCCAGTCAGCTTGTGGCCCTACTGCTGCCCTGTGTTTGGGGGAGCTAAGCCCCATTAGCCCTTTCCACGCCTTCCTTCACCTACACTGGAGTAAATTAATCTATTGCACACTAATTGCAGAGCACATGTAGATGGTAATGCTTTACTGCACATTAGTCTAATGCACGGTAAAGTACATGTGTAGATGTGCCCCATGAAGACCTTCAGGAACTAGAAATCCATACATCTGTAGAACAACCTATTGCAGATTCCAGTCTCAAAACACAGTCTGGCCAGCTACTTGTAATACCACAGACTTTTCCATAGTCCTTCAGGTCGTGAATAGTTACAGTCTCCAAAATAATCCCAGCAGCCATTAGTAATGCTAGACTATTTTATGGCATAACCCTGCCAATCACTGATGCTGCAGAACCCTGCCAGCACCCAGGAATACCACATGCCACTTCAAAACAGATCCCTATCAAGCCATTGAGGATTTTTGTCAATAATCAAAAATCAAAATCCAGTAGTCAATGGAGACCTGCCAATCTACAGATATCTACTGTACCAGTTACTAAAGTGTCTAGGCACAAGATATCTGTTTTTAACGACATTTAAACATCTAAAGATACAGAGGCCTTGAACTTAGGTGCTGAAACTGCTGAGAGTTAACCACATGGGTGCTATTACTGTCTCAACAACTTTAAAACACTGGCCTCCAATGCAAAAGACTTTTATATTTTTACTTGAAGTCATTTCACAACAAAGTTTAACAGTACTACATTGTTAGGAATTGAAACTTCAAATCTTAATTCTGCAAAAACTGAAACAATTCAAGTTTGGTACATGCTGTACTTTTTGTAAGACAGACAACAGCTGATACTACCATGTTCCAACTTACATCTGGAGATTATATGGCACACCAGCTATTTCAAACCTCTCGATTTCAAAATCCACACCAATTGTTGCCTTGTAGTCTCGGTCAAAAATATCCTTACAAAACCTGCAAAAAAAACCCAAACCTAACAATATGAAGGATTGTTTTAAGTTTAGTATTCTGCTTTAATATTGTGCAGGGCATGTTATAAACAAAGTAGTTAAATAATGGTGAAGTAGAAAAGCACTATTTAATAGTATTATATTTCAGAAGTATTCAGCAAAACAATAAGACAGACAATGGCAATGAAGAAAGTAGTCACTTTGAAAGCTGTTTTGCTATAAATGAAATTATAGTCCTACAAACCAAGATAATAAAAGAACTGAGTGAATCCAATGTATGTAGAAAGAGCTAATGCTTTAAACAGTAAACTTAATTTTCTAATAAACACTGTACCTATTAATGAGGCTGGTTTTCCCAACAAATAGGTCTCCAACCACAACAACTTTGGATATTTTCAGCCTGTAACAAATATTTCATTATTATTCATACGGTTTCAATACTCTGACCATGTAAATAAAGATTTAGGCTTTTAGTCTACAAGTGATAGTGCATATGAGGCGTGTTGTGCTTTTGCAGTTTATAAGTAACTGCAAGAGCCTTCCCAAGAAATATACTTTGCAAGATCAGTGTCTTAACTTGCAATTATAGTACAAAAGGAAAAAAGGAGGACATAAAAGGTCTAGTTATAGGGAACAGAAATAAATCGTTTGTTCTGTAAATTATAAAATTCTTGGGGACTCTCCAACTAAGGAAACTTTTCCTGTATATTTGACTGCATGAACAGGTAGGAGCATTTGAATACAGGTTTCCCTCACTTTATGCGGGTTCTGTATATGCAAATTCACTCTTATGCGCTGACCCTTTTTATACCAAAGATTTGCATAAGAGTGAATTTACCTCACATATAACTATCGGCGTGGTGGAAGCCTGAAGTCAGCTGCTTTGTGCAGTGCATTGTGGGAGTGATGCGCACCAAAATATAGTCTCCTGTGGGTCTCTGCTCCTTGCTTGTTGTCTGCAACACATTTCTGTAGTTGCCATCCCCATTATGGTAACATTCATCACCACCCTGTGCTTGTGTGTACTGCCTGCTGTTGGCAAGTACCAAAATTGTCTTGTAAAAGTGGTAGAAATGAGTCTGGGGGTCAGTACAGTTGAGGTTTTGGATCATATCCCTATTTGTTACACTGTAAAGTGGGTTCCCTTTATGAGAATTCAAGTTATGCACCATTTTCCAGGAACGCATGTACAGCATAAAGCAAGGGAAACCTGTGTAAGGGCATAGAAAAAGTCACACACTTATGAGCACATGGATGCAAGCAGGCTTAATCCTGCTGCCACTAAAATTAACAGCAAGACTCTAATTGATGTTAACAGCGTAGAATCAGGCCTAATGTGCATGGACAAGCAAGCAGATGATAATGAACTAATCTACTGTGAGATTTCATCTCTGGAAAAAGCATAGTGTTTGGTGCCAATACATTTCCTGACTATCTGGAATAGTGTTAATCTGAGGAAAGCTTCATGCGAATAATCCTCTTTGCTCAAGATTCACCTACAGAACACAGCAGATGGGTTTTAGGTAACTCAATCTGTACTCTTAAAATTGCAATTTAGCATATCTTTAAGGAGTTGCAGGTGGCCAAGTGAATGTAGCTGTGTAGCTGAACTAACCTCTGAATGATAGTTTAATGTCTTCCCTGTAGAGGTTCCAGAAATACCTTAATAAATTTAAGATATATAGTAAGGAATGATTTTTAAAATGAGAAAAAAAAATCTTTCATTAAACAAATCAATTGGTTATATCTTGGTTCCATTGGATTCTGATTGTAGATTATTAGTTTCCATAAATATGATAATAAATAAATCACATGTATGAAAACCAACCCGAATCAAAAGAAGAAAATTACTATTTGGGTCTGTAAATTTTATTAGCTCATAGTAGAGCAAAACATTCTGGGCTGCAGAAATGTAACACATTGATGAAATATTAACAGCTAGTCTAGTCTCAGCAATGAAATTGTAAGACTGCATTTGTGAAATACAACATTATAATTTCACTGATAGAACAAGTAAAAGCTCCATGAGAGATGACATTAAAAAACCCCCAAAAAACCCAAAACAGGTAAATGAGTATTGTGAAAAAGCACAAGAAAGTAGATGTGCATTTTTAGTACAATGTATTATTGTACTCTAAATTAGGGAGATGGTATAAAAATATCTGTTCTTTGGCTAATATATGCTCTTTTTAAAGTTAGAGCCAGATTCTTAGTTTACTCAATTGACTTTAAAAGATTACTCTAGATTTACTTAAAGGAAATTGAAATTTAGCCCAAAGGCTTCTATTAATTTTTGGGCTCCTATATTCAATCAGCACTGACATCAGCTGGGAGGAGCACAGCAAGGCAGCCTCTGTGTTGTTCCCTGCAATGAGCATTAAGGTTAGTTGTCTTGCTGGTCTGGACATGATCAACAGAATTCAATACCTGTTTTGAAAACATGATTAATCATTTGTATTAACAGAGGACAACTATGGTTTGTTCAACAATCACTGGATTTGGCTGACTATCTACCTCAGCAGAAAAAACGACTTCAGCACATTTGTGGAAACCAGAGGGCACTTGGATACATGACGACTGTTAAATATGGCTGAGAATTCCAGTGCAGACATAACTGGCCCAAAGCATGCTTGGGTGCAAAGAGTGTGAAATAAAGATAAGTCAGTGAGAAAAGTGAGGTATAATTAAGAATGTAAATTATTTTTCAAAAAGTAGTCCAGTTTGTTACACAGACTCACCCAACTGTCCCCGTGTTCCGCTGGTGACAAGCACTTCTGACCTGTGCTTGAAAATGATCTTTGAACTGGAGGCAGGCCTCAGGTGTATACCACTGCAGACAGCAGAGAAGTTGTTTAAATATACTGTATGGCGATAGCTACCTTGCAAGGAACCCAGCCAACAAGACTCAAATAATAAGGTGATGAATTTGAAGCTGTCATCAGGCACAGGCAGAAGAGAAAGTGATACTTGGATTAACAGGCAGTGAGCCGGTCCAATATGTGTGACCAGTAGCTTCTTCTTCAAAGAGTATATATTTCTTTCTCCAACCCTTCTTTGGTCACTTTTTCATGTATTAGTCTTCTTAATAATGTAAACCCCAGACAACCTCCACAGGACTTAACTGTATCCATGTTTTGTTTAGCATTAATCATTCCTCTCAAGAACAATGAATCAGGATATTTGATTCCAGCCATCATGTTAAAAAAAGTCACAGCTGCAGACATGCTATCCAACAGGCTACATTTATACTTGATCTGAGCCTTCAAGAGGCCGAGAAGCGATCTTCTATCTTCTTAAGCGATCACTATCTTCTACATCTCATTTTGGGCAAAGAACTCATATGTTCTTGATTTCTAGTAAAACAAGCTTTGATTTTTCCTCCACAGTTCTCCCTCTCATTCCCTCCTATTTCTTAAAATCAGCAATGCCTTAGTTATTGCATAATATTTTGACTACTGTGTTAGGCAATTTTTATCTTTACATCTTAATACTTTACCAGTCTCTGGGCTGGTATTAACACCATCTCTTAATATGAAGGATTTATGCAAGTGTAAACATTTAAATAAATGGGCTTTTGAAAAGTGCTACCCACTACATGCATAATTAAAAAAAAAAAAAAAAAAGACTTAAATGTTCTCAGATTAAAAAAAGATCATAAGGCAAAGATCAAACAGAAAATTTTACCCCAAAAGGAATGTATGCCTTCAAGGAACTTTTGAGCAACAGAAAAAGGAAACATAATTGTCACATTACATGTCCTACTGTATTCCTGCCTGTCAGAATCTGTCTATGTCTGCCTATTCTCTCTTCCCTTATACTGAGATTGTAAACTCTGGGGTAAGACTATCCTTTTTATCTGAACAGTTCCTAGCACATGGAATCCTGGTCCATGACTAGGGCTCCAAAGCACTATCATAATACAAACAAATGAATTACAATAATAAAAAAATGCATCTAACATGATGTCCAAAAAGCCTATGGATCTATTTTCCCTTTTTGCCCCCTAAGTCCTAGACATGTTTTTAACTTTTCCTCAAACAATGTAATAACTCTCTAAGTGTGGCACTTACACCTCTGTTTGGCTAAAATAATCAAGTGGGGATTGGAAACAAGGCTTGTGTGTCAAGGGACCCTTTCTGTGCAGGTTGAAAGAAGGGATCAGGGTTAGGGACTTGAGGTCATAGACTCATAGAAAATGACAGTTGGAAGGGCAGGACCCCCTACTCAGGGCAGGACCATCCTCCACTATATTATCCCAACCTGCCTCAGAAGGAAAGGGGAAATGATGTTTGCCCCTCTGAAATGCTGAAAAATTATTAAAGAGTTTTATATTTTAATGGTAAAAACAACTGTATGCAAGCAAGGAAACTACTGCATAGGGAATGAGCATCAACCACAATATGCAGTTACCAAGATGTGAGGGAGGAGCTGCTTACCTTAGGGAAGTGGGAAATTACTCTGTCCCTGCTTACTGGGGGAACCAAGTGCATTAGGCTGGACTTCATCCTCTAAATTCAATTCTGCCCCTGTCAGGCATGAAATTTGTAAAGAAGGAAGAAAATGATTAGGAAGCATTGCAGCATACTCCAGATATGAACGAAAAAGGAAACTGACACTCCTTATGGATCTGGCTCCTTTGTTTGGCTGGTACTAAAGCAAGCTGTTGGCAGTGGATTGCTGGCAGATCTCTTATTTCACTTCGTAATAAATGTCCTACGTCTAAAAGGAAGCAATTCAACATGTTGCTGCAGCAGCAGTGAACAGCTTTCTGTGACTATACTACAGCCAAGTCTCACTTTGGGGTGGGGAGGGGAGCCCCTAACCCAGAGATTCATTTTATGGACAGTATTTATAGCTTCTCCCTCTTGTAAATGATTTTTGGAACTTGCTTTTCACGGAGACATTTACAAATCCTGCTCATCACCAACTTAAATGTCCCTATGTGCAAAGCGTGGTGCATTATAAATCTTACAAAGATGTTGCATTTCATCCAGTTGTTTGGAGCAGGGAGGAGGAAGGCTGAAGGTGCTACATTTCCCAATTTTAAATACAGTTCTTATCCAAAAGCAGCTCAGGCCAAGTGAAGTCAGTAGATTACATGACTGTGAAGTGGGATGATCATATGAATTACAAATATGTTACGAAACCCCTGTTTGGTGAGTTGAAGGAGACTCCCTAGCTACCTAGAGACTGGCTTCTAATGTACCCTTTGGGGACATAATGAAACCTAGGGAGCTGTAAGGAAAGGCCTTTAGTATTGTAACCATTTGCTACTGGCATTTAAATTAAGAATATTTCTAATGAGAGCACTGATCAAGTAGCAAAGTGCAAGGAAGGACTCACCGTGCAGCACTGATGCGACAGGTTCCCAGCTACACACGCAGCTCCGCCTGCTGCTCTGTGACCATAGTAACCAGCTGGTAACACTCATCCCCCAACCACATTAGAAGGGCGGAGTCAGACTAAACGGTAACTAACTCCATCAGGCATCCGGCTTGTAGGGGTGGGGGAACTGCTTTTATAGGATCCTCTGTTTCGTTCCTTATTGATGTGACTGGTCAGACACTGCTTGTCACTAAATCCTACGTTAAGCAAATAGTGCCACTGACGTCAAAGACCTGTGCACAAATGAGGACAGCAGGATTAGTGCCTTAAAAAAGGGGCTGAAGGATATGGAAACCGGTAATATAGTAATATCATCTCTATTTAGCAACTGTAATGAAACTCTTCAGGGAATTTTTCAGAATTTCAGCTGACTTGAGCTCAACTTCTGAAGCTCAGTATATCAGCAAACTGTTGGAAACAATCCTTTAATAACAAATTGTTTCTATCTATTAACACTCTTGCTTCCTAGCAGCCTGGGAACAAGAAAAGGGATTGAGTAATCAAGCACAAGTCTCCTGCATAGTAAGAGCATTGCTGTGCATGTTAGTGCACAATGCAAACTTTCCCAACCTCTGTCCCTGGTTTTGGGATTTATTTTAATTCTATATAGCTAAGGTCTTTGTTATGTGTTTCAATGAGACTCTCCCCCCCCCCCCCCCAAACAAAAACAAAACACTCTCATCTAACTGTCCCTGTGACAATCCTAGTGCAGGAACAGGGCTCAGAACATATGTACGACTTGCCCTCTATCTGCTGTCATAACTCCGTAGACTTCATAGACATTAGGGGCTGGAAGGGACCTCGTGAGATCATCAAGTCCAGCCTCCCTGGCCCAGGAAGTCTGCTGGGGTCAAATCATCCCAGCAAGATAAACATCCAAATGCCTTTTGAATTAATTCAAAGTAGGTGCTTGCACCGCCTTTGGGGGGAGTCTGTTCCAGAGCCTGGACACTTGGACTGTAAAGAAGTTTTTCCTAATGTCCAGTCTAAGCCGGCCTTCCAGGAGTTTGTGGCTGTTTGACCTTGTTATCTCTGGGGGAGCCCTGGTGAACAACTGTTTTCCCAGATTCGATGCACCCCCTTATATACTTATAGGCTGCCACCAAGTCACCCCTGAGCCTTCTCTTCTCCAGACTGAAGAGTCCCATGCCCCACAGTCTCTCCTCATAAGGCTTGCTCTCTTGGCCTTTGATCATATGAGTGGCTTTTCTTTGGATTCTCTCAAGCTTATCCATGACCCTCCTGAAGTGGGGGCTCCAAAACGGATGCAGTACTCCAGCTGCGGCCTCACTAAGGCAGGGTAAAGCGGGAAGATGATGTCCCTGGTTTTGCTTGAAATGCATTGGTAGATGAGAGCTCAATAACACTCAATAACAGATTGAGAATTCAAGGAAAAATTAAAGAAATGATATTGTGCATGGAGAATATTGCACAGCTGAATTTCTTAATCTTCTATCTAAAATTACTGTTTCATTCTCGTCTATATCCAAGTACTTTAAAACAATTGTAGGCTTTCTTGTGTATGCAAAGCTACTGAATAAAAACATGAGTGCAGAATTTGTTGTTGATAGGTCATTCAGCAAAGAAAATCAATTTTTATCAATGTTACAGCCCTTAGGTTAGATCCTGCTTGTTCTGTTCTGTGACTAGTTTAATCAATTACCCCACGGGTGGCCAACCTGAGGCATGGGTGGCACAAGTAAATGGGTTGCCTCCGTATGGCATACAGCAAATCAGGAAGGGGATGGGCAGTGCAGCAGCAGATAGGCAGAAAGCAAAACAGCAAATCAGGCAGGAAACATGGGGATGGAAGTAAAAGGCAGAACAGCAGATCAGGCAGGGAAGACAGCTGAAAGCAGAAAGCAGAGCAGCAAGGGAAGGGGATTAGAGTGGCTCTTGTTAGGGGGCACAGGGAAAATTTGTGGCACAACTGCCAAGAAGGTTGGCACCAGCTGAATTAGCCTACTTGTGTATGTGTAACCTGAGAAAGATTGGGACCTCTACGTTGGTCCCCTTTGTGGCCAGTGGGGAGAGGTTTAAGATATTAATACTATTTTAAAATAATAATTTTAATATCAAAATGACAATCTTGATTTCTGTATAACAGCTGTACCATATGAGCTCCTTCCTGCATTTTGTCTATTCTGTTCTAGTACATCCTAAGCATGTAGACAACTGCCATGTGTACCTTGGCTGAGTCACTGTTCGTCTCCTAGAGCCCTTTCACAAAAATAAACTATAAACAAAAAAAATCAATGTACCACTCTCAAAGAATCCAAAGAGCAATAGTGACCAAGGTAACCAAACAGGAACAGATTTAAATCGACTGACTGTCTGCATTAGTACCCAGTATATTTACTTTTCACTCCTATTACCCCAGCAAGTAAATCAATAAACTATCTATAAAATGAGGGCAGATGGGCAATGGTTTAAGAAATACAAAGTTTACAAAAATCTTTGAGGGAGATTAGAAAGCTGGTTATAATTATTAGTCTGTACTAAAGCCCAGACTATGCCCTCTGCATTCAAGATTGAAGGGAACTTGGTCACAGAAGGGAAAAGACCTGTTTGCTCCATAAAACACCTCCCCCCACATTTCATCAACGTTTGATACGAAATGGACTCTGTGGACAGCGAAGGAAATGAGGCTAGTCATTCTCTTTCTTTCTACCATCCCACAAGAAAATGAGAAGAAATTATTGCTGACTTTACTATTCCTGAAGGCAACTTCAAAACAGTTCAAGGAGCCCCTGACACCTGGTTTCTGCCAAAAAGTCAGTGGGGAGGAAGAAGAGGCACCAGGGAGATACAGGGTCTTTATAGGGGATCTGTTTTCCAGTGAACTGGGGAAAAATTGTGGGTATTTGGACTACCCCCATCTATACTCCAAGGGGAAAAGTTCATACCCAAATGGAATTAGAGGAAAATTCCACAAACATGGTCAATGGGAATAAGCTGTCTACTGAATAATTTTCTCCCCAGTTTTGAGATGAAAATAAACATTTTGCTGAAAACCATTTTAACATCAACAAGATTTCTGCTGTGGATTTTGATGACAGACAAGTTATCTATTGCTGTTTTGTTTTAATCCTACTGATTGGACTGACCTATACTGTGAAGTTTGTAAAATCCTGTCTAAGATCTTTGGTTATTATAACTGTTATAAAATGTAATAAAACATTCATGGACTTACATATTAGCCACTTTAATTGTGTGGAGGTGACCTCTTTTGTGGCACAAGCTGCATACACAACTTATTTTTCCCTGTGACTAGGAGCACGTCAAAGTCACTAGAGTGAGAACCCAGTGAAAAAGGCAGGTGATCAGATCTGCTTCCTGCCTAACAGTCCCAATATAATGCTATACAATTTAATGTATCGTATTGAGAAGGAAAGCAAGAATCTACCCAGAGGTTACAGCAGAACAATCCCCATGAACTCCAGACTTCACATCAGTTGTAGCTGTTTGGAGAATGGGGAGGACGAACCAGGGGCACAGTCTAGAAATAAGCATGTGGATAGCAAATCTATGCAGAAGTAAAGATACGGGGCCAAACCCCTGTATGGATGAGGAACACCAGCCTATGCAGGGCATTTCTAAAAAAAAGTAATAATTTTACATCTTTAAAAAAAAATTAAAACTTCCATTGCACATTTTGCAGGTTAATTTACAGACTGCAACTCTTAGTTCATTTAAAATAATAGTTGGATCCTTTTCTGATATTTGGCTCCATGTAAGTTTTGTCCTAGGATATTTATTGTGTCACTAAGACATGAAATACAAATGTTGTAAATGATGTTGAATTTACATAGAAGACAAATAAAATTCGTCAAAATAATGGTTACAGGAATCGCAGGTTTGCCTGGCATTATGAAGCGTGTTTTTTATAAGGTCACAAGCTCCTAATGCTACTATCTTCAAGGACTTAAGACTCCCTTAAAAGCTTAAATGTGACATGAATTAACAGCTCCTATTTTTAATTTAAATGATGCATAGCATTTCCTGCTGTTTAAAAGACTTCTTCTTGCCAAGAAACCATTTAATTAATTGGTTTAAGTACCAAAGCTTTAACATAATTAAATAAATAACACAAATACTTTCAAACTAAAGGCCAAGAAGTTGAACTGTGCCCACTAATTTTAATAACGAACTGTAATTGATTTTAAGTGGAGCAGAAGCAGGGCCTAAACCTTAGTATTCACATATTATTCCCATTTCAGTGGAACAAACTGTGTGAGGAAGGTAAATTGGACTGCACTGGTTTAAAGGGCTGGGGATTTAGTATGATTTTGGTGGGTTTTTTTAAGGAAATAAATTTACACAAGTTATTCTGTCTCACACATTTGATCAGAGGCTATATCAATCTTTAATGTTTCAGAGAGAGCTTAAAATATATTCAACCATTTGGTGCTCCTTTTTATTGACAAACAACGCAGTACTGAGGTAGTCTTTGTCTCAAATTTTAATGCAGAAAAATCATTTCACCCTGTGGAAGGTAAAAGTCCAAATCAAAAAGTGGAACAAGATAGATACTCCTGTTTTTGGCCATGAAAATAATCTAGAAATGCTACCATTGTTTCAAGAAGGCAAAGCACGTTGCAAAAAAAAAAAAAAATCTACCTCCTGTGATCCTTACAGTAGTTCTGTGAAGTTAATAATTATTATTCCATTTTATAAATGAAGAAACGGAGGCAATAGGCCAAGATGCCAACGGCTTTAGGAAGAACTAGAGGGAGAAGCTGGAGCTTTTTGTAGGCCACCTCCTGTGTCATCAGACGCAAGTCGAGAGGAGGTGACACCTCATGACGTAGGTGGTGGCCTGCAAAAGCACAGGTCTCTTTGAATGAGTTAGTCTCTAAGGTGTCAGCTGCTCTGAGCTCAGGGGGGCATGGCTGGGAGCCCTAACCCAGTTCCCCACCTCCAGAACGGGGGAGAGAGACTGTGAGGTAATCTCGAGCCCCGCCCGCACCTAACGGTCGGTCAACGGCTTTCCCCGCCGCCCTCCCGCGCCTACGC